TGCGACAATTTTCGTGTTCAGATTTGATTGTTCCTTGTTGAGTTATGGCTTGTCAAAATTCAGGCTGCAGAGGGGGGTCTTAAATCTTGTTTATTTATGGACGTCATAAGTGAATGACCCCTGATAAAAATGATTTAAAATTGATCAGAAATGAACAAAAGTGGTCGGAATCCAATTTATCATTCCGCATCCTTTGCCAAATCTTATAAGTTTCCAGGATCAGTTAAAATTTTTGACTTTTTTTTTTGAAAATTTAAAGATTTTAGTAACTGATTGACAGTTATTGATTTTTGTTGTGCAAAACACCGATTCCTCCTACTGAGTCAATTCATCGGAATCTAAATTTAACAGACTTCTTTGGGGAAATCATTTGAAATCACGAATATCCTTTAAATGTGATTATTTTTCCTTCAATGGAATTTAAAATAGAAATATGAAATTCATTCACAGAAACCAATTCAAAATAAAAATTTCTCAGAACAAACGTAAAATTGAATAAATTTTTTGAATTTCAAAAGTAAGTGAATTTTTTCTGAATGAATTTTTCTGACTAAAATTAGATTTCTCATTATTATTTCTACAAAATTTTAATATTTTCTTTACTACACATCTTATAAATAAACAGGACTTTTCATTGAACATTCCCACTCAGTATTTTACAACTGAATAAATGAATCCCAGGAAATTATTTTTATAGCTCTAAAGGACAATATCCAGGCTACACATTTTCATTAAAATAAAGAACATCAACTGGTAATTAAAACATAAGTGGATTTTATATTTGAGTGCAAACAATTATACAGTTATCATCCTCGCTTAAAGTTTCAACCTTATTTATTCAGCCCCTGAATTTTATTTTTGTTACTTAAAACTGAATTAATTTAATTTAAGGATAAATTTTGTTGATTCATTATTCAAATCTTGATTATTGATTGTAAAGTTTTCTAACCTGTCTCTTTAATTTGCAAAACTTTGAAGAATTGTAAACTTTACAATCAATTATGTAAAACTTTGTCTAATATTTTTTGACAGGAGCGTAGGTATAAATTAATAGATTTTTGCAACTATCTCAATGAACACGTTTAGGGTATTTTTGGGATTTACTCCCTAGGACTTCACTTATGACGTCCAAAAACAACAGTCATTTTAAAAAAAAAAAAAACAATAAATTTCTAGGAATTTCTATTGTTCTTTTCTTGCTGCCCTCCCCCCCTCCCCCCTTTGGACGTCATAATTTAATAGCCCCCCAAGCAAAATGAAGGAATTTTTAATTCAGGGAGGGGAAAGTCAACCAAGTCCCAAGCTCCTCGCCTTATTTTTGTTCCCAAATGTCTCCATCTACTCACATGAGATACAAGCAGCCGAAAAGACACAGCATTAAATTATGATTCTCTTTCATGTGTTGTATAGAAATAAGAGATAAAGAAAATCCAATAAAGGAAGTGAGTTTGAGGCAAAATCTTTAAAGAAGAAAATAAAATTGTAAATCAAGAATGATCAAATTTGTTACTGAATTGCCTGAAATGAAGTTGTGTATTGTGTATCAATATTATTAGGATAAAGAAAATAAATGAAAATTTATTTCTAGTAGCACAAGTGTGGGAACACTGAACCTTTTTCTAAAAAGCACTAAAACCAACAAATTTATCCTTAAATAAAATTGTGTTACTCAAAATTTTTGTTTGGACTGTTATTAGGAATAGATTGAATGAAAATATTTATTTGAATTGCTTTTCAAAATGTTTTTTGGAGCTTTTATATTTGCAAATAAAATTCGACATGCTCTGCTGAAGTGGAATAGTGATTGTTGATTATGTCAGCACATATAAAAGTTTATGTTTACTGAACTGAAGACGTTTTATTTATGAAAATTTACAATATTTAAGTTTATTCCCTAAACAACTTAATGGATGTTAAATTTTATGTTTGGTACGTTTTTGTTATATTAAAGTTCGTCAGTCGAGGATATCCTTTAATGGAACAGAACTGATGTTGAAATTGCCAAAGTTATTTGTAAAAATGCTTAAATAATCTTTAAAAGACGTGATTTGACATATGTATGAGAAGATCTTTTAATCCAGTTAAACATTTTTATATCCAACACATCAGCAAGTGCTTAGTGAATTAATCATAAATGTCATATTAAAGCTTAAATTTACCACACCATCACATGACATAATTTTTTTTGTCCTTTTTTATGTCGCAAATTAATGCCTAATATCAAGTAAAATCCGTTGTTAATGCTTATTTATGTATACGCCATTTGTTCTTTAATACACACGACAATATGTGCTTGTTAATCCACAAAGTTTTACGATAAAAATTTCTGTTTGAAAAAATTGTGGTAAAAAATTCAGGCAGATAATTTTCGTATTTTTTTTTTCTCTTATGATCTCCAGCTGTTGTTGAAAACATTTTTTTAATCCCAAAGTTCTAAAAACATCAGTTCTGTTCCACGAAAGTACAGAAGTAGATATTAAATCTCTGTGCGTGACATAATCCATAAGAATAGGATATCTTCTTTTATTTGATTGTCTTGGGAGCGGTTTTTAAATATTTGCTTTGTCATTCATTAATGTTGAAGTTTCCAATCTCTTTTCATCATAATTTGTTATATTTTGTTTAAATTTTTTTATTTTTATTTTTTAATCATTTATATTTCACCTAGAATCATGATTTTTGTTTGAAAATAATTAATCAAAATGTTATCATTCAGTTACAGGCACTGCTTAGACAGAAATAGAAACAGGGAAATTTCATAATTATTTTTTAATTAAAGATTATTTTTTGAGAGTGTAATTTTGTTAATTTTTCGTCTAGGAAATCGTCACTTTAAGATTGAATCGAGAATTAATCTCAAACATTCAAAAATTAAGATAACAGGCAACCAACAAAAGAGGTAGTCAAGGACCCAGAAAAATACATAAAATATTGCATCTGTATAAATTCACCTTTTAAGGGTACCTCCAAAAATTCTTGGAGCAAAACTAATTGTCTACGAATTTCCACACAATTAATCATTTCAGCCTTAAACAGTGCCCTTAAAAAATATCATTTATTCTAAAGGTTTTTTTTTCATTACTCGAATCCTTTTCACAGCTAAATAAACAATTTTTTATACCAAACCAGGAAAGGAAAGAAAGAGAACATTCACGTATTTACAATTAAACGCTGCATTGCTGTATGTAAGTAATTTCTTTCCTTCCTCATTTTTCGACTGACGTATGGATGTTTTATGCATGAGCTATAACTTTTTTTCACATTCATGTTAATATACGAAGATTATTCATTTTTTACATAGAGATGAATTTCTTTTTTTATTGTTATACATTATGCTTATTTATTTACCAATTTTCTTAGGTATTCATTAACAATCAGACTTTTTCAACATGTTATATTTTTCTCGTATTTTTAAACGTATGCAAATTTTCTTCTATAATATTTTTCTATGATGAATATGTAAAGTCCCTTATGTTCTTGTTACGAGAGAAGAAAATCAAGAAGAAAACAGCACACTTGTGAAAGTATTGTATGTGCTTATGTGAATAATATAAAAGTATAAGTAAGGAAATTATGGAATTTCAAGTACTGCTTACATGGAAGGCTTTATTGCCCTTAAGTTAGATAAAACAGAACACAAACTTTTTGGGGTTAATCGAAAAAACTTATTTCTCTTTGTTCATTTTGGTGCTCTTCTTTTCCTGCTTCTTTGTGGAAGAATCAAAATATTTTTATTCTATATTATGAAATTTTTATTTATTGAGGATTTCCTTTTGATATATTTTGTATCTTTTATTAGAAAAATCCCGAAAAGTTTTATGCATTGCTTCCTTTATTGAATAAGTTATGAGAGTGTTCGAGCAGATGTAGAGTATCAGATTCATCACATGATATTGCGACTTTATGATTTTGCTTCTTTGAAAATATCAGCATGCAAGATTGCACGCTGGTTTAGTAAGATTTCAAAGAATTAATCAAACTGAGTGTAATGTCATTGACAGAATTATATTTTGTGAGTCACTTTAGTTTACAATCAGAAAATAATAATTTTAAGTAAGTTCTTTACATGGTTTTGAGATATTTTTATCCTTTTCAATCGAATCAAATACGAACTTCTCGGGATTACTCGATAAAAAGGAAGAATAAGTACCAGATGTATTTTATTTTCTATAAATTGTCTGAAGGAAACCTTTAAAATAAGGAATTTTTCTCATTTCCTCAATCAACTGAATTTAAAATAACTATAAAGTCCTTGAATCATCCCTAGATAAAAATATATTTCCTGTATTGAAGTTCTACCGAACCCTTTTTCATATATTCATATTATTTATTGTGAATATCATACAGTCTATTCACTCGAAGCTCACTATTTTCATTAGAAACTTTTTTTTTCATAGTTCATTAATTTACATCAACAAAATTATATTTTTAGATCATACAAGAATACAAAAAAGAATCGTTGATGGAAGTGGCAAGAAAACAAAAAAAAATTCAAAGGGTGTGGCGGGCAGGTATAAACATCTCCTGACGGTACCATAATGATCTCTAACAAGTTTCATAATAAATATGCCAATATCGTCTTTTCTACTCTCGAGAAAGAATTTGGAAAGAAGATGAGAAAATGAATAAAGAGCTTCTGGCAATATGCCCCTTAAAATGATGAAAAATGAAAAGCATGGAAAGAATGAAAGATGCTTCATCATAAAAATATTCATCTTTCATCAACAGAAAAGTTTAATATACCGACTACGTACATACAATGCGTAGTGAGAGATGGAATGTTCTGCTAGTATGATGGAATTTTCATTTGGAATGTAGGAATCATCTATCAATTTTCCATTCACAACATTATGATATCATAAGCTCATCAAACGTGAAGGAAATGTTCTTAAATGTTTATAAGTGGATAGATGATGAGAACAGTAATAATAAAGATCTTTATAGAAAAAAAATTCACATGTTATCTTATACTTATTATATGAATATCATCTCTTATGATAAGATTATTAAGATGGTAATTTATTATGGTCCACATTAATCTTGAAATCTTGTCTGTTGCCTTGGTGTACTAGCACTGCGTTCCGTACGCTCGAATGTTGTTTGTTGTCGTCTTAATCGCGTTGCTGCCGTTGCTATTGGATTTGATACATTGTTTGTACAATTACAAATTGTATCTATAAGACTGCGGGCGAGACTTCGTGCGCGTGTAACTACTCTCTTATTCTTATCCTTCAAACCTGACATGAATGCGTTCAAATTCTTTTCTCTCGCTTCCTCACTCTGATTACATATTTTATTATGAAGATCGTTGTCATGATAACATTTTTTGTAAGTATGCGTGTGAATATATGTCAACCATTCACGCGACATAAAGAATAGAAAAAATAAACAGATTTGAAATGAATGAAAATTGACATTGAGGCTCATGCTGTGAATATTTGAAATTAATATCTGGTTACAATAATTTGATAAGTTCAATCTTGATAGCTTATAAAACAACCCGATTGGCACAGATTGAAATGTTATTCATATGGCTGCCATTTCAATGTGTGCTGTTCAGGAATCAAAATCTTTTCCGTCCAAAATTCTCTTCAAATGTCTAAAGCATGTAAAAATAAACATTCTCAACTTACCGCCTTCCTATCAAGTCGCTCCTGCACTGTTTTTTCCGCTTCACATAGCACCTCATGTATACATTTTCTAAGCTCGTCCACATCGTCTTTATTATGATATTTAAAGTCCTCGATTCGCTGATTCAGATCATCATCCCCTTCATCCATGCTGTCAAGTGGCAATGAAAAGTTTAACGAAGCCTTATGTGGCTTTTCTGGCTCTTTAAATCCCACTGATGCCATTTTTTATTGCTACTAAATTTCAAGCTGAGTATTGAGCTCTCAATTGTTCAATAATTGCTTATTCTCACTCTTCAACGGTTTTCAAAACTTTCACTTTTATGCCACTCAGCTGTGAAAAAAAGGAATGAAAAAATAACATTTAAGATAAAATTAAATTTTCTTTTCTTGATGCTAGCCTATTTTATATAAGATTTCCATTATCTAAGACAGAGTTTCTTAAACTTTTTAGCCCACGGAGCAATAAAACACCAGTTATTCATTATTTGGCACCTCAGCAGCTATTTTCGACACACTTAGGATTTTCTTGGTAATAGTATTGCTCTGTGGAGCAAAGTGTGAGAATCACTGATGCTAAGAGAAATTCAATGGCTACAATCAGGGGCGTAGCCAGAAAATTTTTAAGGGGGGCCCCATTTTCGAAAATTAAAAAAACCGTTATTTTGTATCCTTAAATTTATATTCATTCTTCATAAGTTTAAATATTTAACTTATTATTCATACATTAAATTTAATTTTTCGTGGTGATTTTGAAATTTCTTTCATCACTTCCTCTACATTAACTGGTTCTTCTCTATAAATACTTAATAAAACAATTGTCAGATTTTCGTAAGGGGGGCCCGGGCCCCCTATGCCCCCCCCCCTGGCTACGCCCCTGGCTACAATTGATGTAAAGAATATCTTGTGGGATGTCTTATTGAATGTGAAATTGCTCAGAAATAGAACTTTCCATATTACAATAAAATATCACGTTCAATCAATTGAATTTGAATGAAAATCTTTTTTTCGTATTAATCATCAAAAGACGAAGAAAGATTTTATTTGATAAAGAATGGTAAACAAAAAAGCTGTTGAGAAGACATAAAAACTCAATAAGGATGTTCAATGAGTTGAAATTGACCCTGAATTAGGCAATGTCAATTATCGGACTTCTTTTTTTAACATAAAATGTTCTCGTTTAGAAATCTTTGAAGATTCTCTAGAAAGAAGCATACATATCTGGAGGGTAGGAACTCATTACATCCTCCGCGATCTTTTGAACAATTTTTTTTTGCCTTTTTGATGTTATCTGCCTGATGTCTTCAGTGCTCTTTTCTGTTTTAAAACTATATTTACATTCAACCTTGAACTGTTCTTGACAGATATATTCAGAACCACACAATATTAGATATTGATTTTGAGTTTAGTCATTTTTGAGAAACCTTTTTCATTTCTTAAATCTTCTGAAAAATTAAGATTGATTTTGTGATGTTTTTTTAAGGAGAAAATTGACATGTTTTATAGTAAAAATAACCTTTTTATGTTTGGAAGCCTATCGAGTGTAATTTTTCGTAAAAAAACTTTTAAGTAATTCATCAAACTCTAACCTTAAATCAAATAAAGCTTCGATTTTAGAGCTTGAAATTGATAAAGTCAACTCAGGTAAGGATACAAGACATTTTCAGAGAATGAGGACATCACTTATGTCTGCCAGTTTTAGCAGAGGGAAAACTACTTCGATGGTAAAAATTTTGATGGGAAATTTCCCATCATAAAATGGTTAAAAATGGTAAAATAAAATATTAAAAATGGTAAAAAAGGTAAAAATGGGTAAAAATTCTAAAGAATTAGAGAATTTTACTTTTTTTCCCTTTTTTACCTTTTTTGATTGAAAATTTCGCTTTTTAACCCATCAAGTAGTTTTCCCCCTGAGTTTTAGTCGATATTAGAAGAACTTGAACAAGGAAAAACTATTTTATTTTGAAAAACCCAGCAGATGTTCAGCTTAACTCTTAGTCAACTCGAATCTAGTTTATTTACAAGACTATCCTCCGGCCACCCCTTAAATAATATAAATCTTGTCATCACAATTTTTTATTTTCATCATTTACACCTTTTCATAATAAATTGTTAATATGTTCATACCCACATCCAATGCATGCAAAGCTTCACAAAAAATGTTTTCCATGTTAATGGGAACTTTACCCTTTGTAGTGCTATTGGTTTTGAGCACGAAAACTTTTAAGCATATTAGAATGAAACTTAACATAAGTTTGAAATGATGAAAAACTTTAATTAAAGAAAATTGGAAAATGTTACTCGAGCAAAAAGGGTAAGCGAACATAGTAAAAAGTTACGTTTGTGATGACGGATTAAACATAAAATCGATTGTCATGTTACATCGTAAGCTATACAAACTGTTGGGTTCAGTCTTGTTGTATTTAAAACACCTAACGTAGCATAAAATAAATTTGCACGCTATTAAACAAATATTTGCTAATAATCGATCCATTTCATATTGATAGGATTTACGCTTCGTTTCTACGCTCAATGAAATGAAAATTTTCTTCCTTTCTTTTCCTCTCGTTGTATATTTATTGTGCACTGAGAAAAATTTATTGCTAGAAACCTTCCGTTTGCTTACTTGTTGTTTCGCTACTCACTCCTTATTTTTACTCATTGAACGGTTGCATGATGATAATATAATTCTATCATGGCAGATGTGAAAACATTTTTGCTCTTATTAAGAAAAGCACACAACAGGAAATGTTCAAAAATTATTGTTTTGTGCGCAAAAGTATTATCGTTACTTTACTTCGTTTGTATCCAATTGAGTTTTCATTTATTGCTGTGATAGTCCCTAAAAATTTGTACCTTTCGTCTTGACGCACATTTCTTGCTACATGAATGATACTGCTCGATTTTCAAACTGAAATGATAATAGACGAACACGCATAAGAAGAAAAGGTATGGGAGAAAAAAAATCCAATTACGGCAAGAAATGAGGAATGTGGCAGACATAAAGATAACGCGAAATGTAATAAGAGAGCTTCTAGCGATATATCGCAATGGTAGATTCTCAAATTTGATGATTTATTTAAGCATTCATGCGGTTATCAGTAACACATCAGAACATGATTGTTAAGTTGATTATGACAGGTTTTAAAACGATGATTATCGGTGTGAAATGTATTGTCAACATTTTAGCAATGAAGTTGAGGCTTACAGTTTTAAACTCTTATAAGATGAATAGTCCTATTAATCTAAAACTTTATTATCCCCTTGATTCCTTCAAAATGTCCTTCTAAATTTAATTTAAAAAAATCCAAGCTTAAAAAATTCTTGTTTTATTTTAACTCAATTCAATCAGTTTTTTGCAGCATCATTACTCACAAGTTGATGGACATTGTTCAATCAAAAGTTTTACTGCAGCCTAAAGAAAAAGTTTTCTCAAATTTTTCAATTATTCTTGCTCTCAATTTTTACGTCATGCTTCGAAAATGGCTATTCATCTTGTATATTTTAACAAGTCGTAGAAACTCTGCTAAATATCCCAAACATATCCAAAATAATCTCTGATCTTGAATGCATTTAAAATGAATTTTCCCACCGAATCCTAGAACTATGTTCAATACACTGAGGATTCTTTTGGATTTCTTTATTATCGCACATATGCCGGGATTCGGATTTGGATATTTTTTTGGATAAATCGGATATTTGGGATAGTTTCCAAGCCTGGTAATTCAATGAGGAACCCAAATAATCGCTCATTATTAGCAAGCTAAAAAATGAATAAAATACAGCATAAATGCTAAAATGAACCTTAAATCAAATTAAAAATATTCAACTTTTACTCAATTCATTAACTCTAATTATCATTTTTGATCATTTTGATAAAGTCCACACCCTTCAAAAATCAGAATAAATTTGCTAATGGATTCATGCAAAGGATGGCTGCTAAACTTTTCAGAAAGAGATATTTCACTTCGTTTTATATGACACCAATAAATTCATGACGTGACTTTGGTTGTTACATATGATGACCACAGAAAGCTTTTGCGTGTAGATAGAATGTAGAGGTAAATCAGAGAACAACATAAAAATAAGAAGTAATACTATTATAGAAGGTTCAAAAAATTCATTCATGATAAAATTAATGTATTTCTCGTACAACTTATCTACAAAGGGCAATAAAAAAATATAACTTAATAAAATTTTTTTCATGTAACTACTTATTTTCCTCCTTTTGGCTACATCCATCTGAGATTCCATTTGTATCAATTGTCAGGGAAATTAAATTTAATAATTTAAAGTCTTTCCTTTCTTATTCCGACATTTATTTAATGGACGATATCAAATTTATTGCCTGTATCTACACCTTTTACATCTGGTTCTCAATACATATCCATTGGCCCTTCCTAATTTATTTCTCTGTTGAGTCAGACTTCTCAATTTTATATGGCTTATTTTTATACAAAAAGTTATGCTGACTTTTACTTTTTGGCTAAGTTTTTGTGTAGACAAATGTAAAAGAAATTGGCAACTTAAAACTTTTTTAAAATCTCTCAAACAGCATTTTTAACTAGGGTAAATGACTTTGAAATTTGCGCACCCTTGAAATTTGCGCACTCGTATGAAAACGAAAATTTTAAAATTATATGTAAAAATGTCACTTCTGTTCAGACGATCAATGGGAAATGTTTGTAGAACACCAGCGCAGATGTTTTTGCATCATTTTTAGTGATATTAAACCATTAGGAAGCTCAATAATTTGCACCCGAAAAAACCCATACAAAAAAAATATTTGTTAAAAATTTGATTTTGGGATGTATGTGATAGATTTAGTTGGGGTTTTGGTACCAAAAAATGAAGATCTGACGTTGCTTCAAATTATTTTGATGGTGCAAATTCAAAAGGATGAGTAGAACTGCTTTAAAATTCCATTTTAAAAGTTCCCATTTTTGAACCTTGAATTTTGCGCAAAATTTTCTGAAAATTTTGAAATTTGCGCACTTTGTATCGTAGAAATCGACAGAAAATTTTGTCAACATTAATTAATATTTAAATCCAAAAATGAGGATTTTAGAAGGATTGTTGATGAAATGGATATGAGGACATAGGACAAAAATTATGCAAATGATTTCTAAATATTTATTTCAATAAAAACGCCAGCAAAAGTCAAGAAAACCGTCAAAAATGATCAAATTTGAGCACTTCAAGGAAACATCCATGAAGGTCCTGTTTAAGTATGGAAAGTCATCAGTTAATAAAGAATGGAGACAAAAATATGTTTAATGCTTAAAATATTTTTTGTTTATTTGATATGTTATAAATAAATCCTGACATTTAGAA